CGAAAAGGGCTGGGGGGGCCCTCTGCTGGCCGCGGCTGGGGCCTACGGGCTGAGCGCCGGGAGTTACGCCCCGCTGGTTTTCGGTGTGCTCCCGGGGCTGGTGGGCATCGGCAGCGTGGTGCAGGCCACCGGGCTGGTGATGATGCTGATGAGCCTCGGGGGGCTCCTGGGCCCTCCCCTGTCAGGTAAGGGCTCCAGTCGGCAGATCAGGTCACAACCATCCTCTGACCGTGGGTTCCGGGGCCTCTAAAGTCCTTTCCTTCTCCTCCCAGGCTTCCTAAGGGACGAGACAGGAGACTTCAGGGCCTCTTTCCTCGTGTGCGGCTCTTGCATCCTCTCTGGCAGCTTCATCTACCTGGGGCTCCCCAGGGCCCTGCCCTCCTGTCGCCCAGCCTCGCATCCAGCTGCCCCTCCCCCGGAGAGAGGGGAGCTGCTCCCTGTCCCCCAGGTTGCCCTGCTCTCCCCAGGAGCCCCACACTCCACTCTGGACACCACTTGTTGATTATTTTATTTGAGCCTGTCCCCAATAAAAAATTTTTATCCATTTTTCCTGAAAGCTCTGACTGTTAACCAATCGAAGACCCTGAAAATATTCTAATAAAGGTATCCAAAAACTCTGGTTGAAAAGAACAAGATTGCTTAGGACCAGCAGTTAGCGTAACGGCTATGTTGCTGGGCTCCCATGTAGTTGACCACAGTTCGAGTCCTGGACCCAGTGGCTTAAACTCACACTGGGCGCGTGTGCGTGCGTGCCCAAGATCCCGAGAGGAGAACGGAGGAGAAGAGATTGCAGTGTGGCCATCCTCCCTGGGGGGTGATTTCTCTCTTTCTGTCTGTCTCTGTATTTCTGGCGAGCGCATGTGCCCTATAGCAAAATCTCTACCAAAAACAAACAAACAAAAAACAGGATCACTTGGGACCAGCAGATGGCATAATGGTTACGTTGCTGGACTCACACTTCGTTCAAGTCCCAGGTCTTAAAACTCACACTGGGCGCATGTACAGTTAGGAGAATGAAAGAAAATGGTCATGACCATCCCCTCTGGGGAATGATTTCTTGCTTTCTGTCTCTAAAACCTCTCTGGGGGAAAAAAAAAAACCCACAAACCAGGATGCCAGTAGACCTCGAGGGTGAGGAAGGGTGTTTGTTTATCTGTTCCATTTCTCTTGGCCAGAGTCCTTGTAACACGGAATCTCCGAGAAGTTGTCTCCCAGTCAGTTTCAGTTTGGGGGTGGGGAGAGGCAGCTCATGGGTGCTGTCTGCCCTGCCATCCCTTTCCTGAGTATGCAGACCTTCCAGACTCACTCTT